AAGGAGAAAACACTGAGATAAAAAAGGAAATACATGTTAATATCTCAAAGATATCCCAAAACACTTGTGACAATTCAAACAGGAGTTCAAGTTCTACCCAGATTTTGCCCTAGAATTCTTTGTGAATATAAGTTATCTGAAGGTGGGCATAGGCATTGAGAATGAAATTTAAAGAAAGCTTAGAAAGTTCTATGGGTTCTAGGTGTTTTGGAAAACCTGAAACATTCATTCTTAGGACCCCCCTCCCCCAAATTAAGAGTTTGACAGTAATATAATTTAGATACATTTTAATATTACAATGACTACTGAATTCCTTAAACATTTCACAAATTTAGGCAAACTAGTTCTCAGTGCTAGTTGTTGAATGTGCGGGCCAGTGATCTTACGCATGAGCATCACCTAGAGAGCTGTTAAAAATGCAGATGCTCAAGCTTCCCCCAAAGATTCTGATTCAGATGAAATTGCCTCTGTTTCATTTAAAGGTGTGGTCATTTTTATTCCTCAAGGCTCTTATTCATCTACTGACTCGTATATTAGTGTTCTCACAAGATGATTATGTTGAGTTTGGAATTAGTAATATGGGCAGGAGAAAATGATGATTATTAACTGGGAGAATTTTGTCTTTTAGTGGTTCGTATAGCACTAAGCAACTTAGAAAGTACTGTCAGAGAATAATCAACACAGAGGAAGTGGAGCCGGAGGTGGGGAGAGACACACAGGATTCTGATAACACCAGCTATTCTCCTGAAGCCAGCATACCCTGGACTATTCAGTTACATGAAACAGTAAATTCCTTTGTTTGACTAAGCCAGTTTGAGTTGGGTTTGCTGACATCTTAAACATAAAGAGTCTCGATACAATTCTCCACAAATGGTTGTGGAGCATATTCTTGAATGAGACATTGAAGTATGAGGGGAGGAGGGCAAACAGTAGCCAATGCCTCCGGACGTTTTCCTTTGGGTATGAGACAGCTCTACCATGTTGCACAGTTCGGTGGCCACTATTCACAATGTGAATGGACTCCCCAGGATGCAGGCGACAAGGCAGCCCTGAGGGAAGATGATTGTGGGATGAGAGAGAATCCTGGTTCTTGGCTCCTGAACGTTTAGACCCCAGAGTCCCATTTCCCAAGAGTAGACAGGCCCAGTTCCCTAGATTCCCTTTGTTAGGGATCCATTGCTCTTTAAGGGTTCCATTTGGTTTCTTCTCCTTCTTCCAGAGAACTGCAGAAACATTTAATTTGTCTATGCTAGATAATATATAGAGTATGTGTATTTCTTAAGTTTAGGCCTCATTGTCATATGCTTGTGTATAATTTAATTTAAGTAAATGTCAGATTATTTTTATTCTAAGTTTTATTCTATTAAAACACTCATTTTACTGAGTCAACTCTTGATGACTCAGGCTTTATAATGTACTGTTCTGTAAAGTGTTCAACTAGCTACAACTTAAAACAAACTTGACAAGGGGCCGACCCTGTGGTCGAGTGGTTAAGTTCGTGTGCTCCACTTTGGCAGCCCAGGGTTTTGCCAGTTTGGATCCTGCGAGCGGACATGGCACCGCTCATCAAGCTATGCTGGGGCTGGGTCCCACATGCCTCAACTAGAAGGACCCACAACTAAAATATACAACTATATACTGGGGGGATTTGGGGAGAAAAAGCAGAAAAAAAAAAAGATTGGCAACAGTTGTTAGCTCAGGTGCCAATATTTACAAAAAAAAAAGGGGGGAATTCTTACTCTATATTCATGCATTGACTTAACTGAAGTCTTTCCTGCTGTTTTTGTGTTTTTTTCATTTGTGTATCTAGCTCCTTTGTACACTCACTCACTTAGTGGTTTGAAGAGACACAAGAAAGCATGGGGAAGGAAACTGACCTCTTGTTCCCATTTTTAAAATTTAGCAGTATGCTTCCTCGGGAATTATTTTAGAAGTTTTCTCCTGGAATTCTGTGAACTATATTGCACTGAGTTTTTAAGTGACTGCTTTTGTTTGAGGCACAGGTTCGGAATCAGTTCTCACTCTGATGCCCAGGAAGTTGAGAAAAATCTGATTTGTTTTTCCCTGACTGCAGAGAAGGAACACATGTTGCTATGTACAAAAGGAAATTGCCAGTCTCTGAAAATTTCGCTTTGCAGTGTCTAATAGAGTAATCTGCAAGCATTTTTGTCTGCTTCTAGAAATACTTTATCTTGTAATATTCTTGCAAGAGTCCAAACCTAAGCAATATGTTCTACACATTTTCTCAATTTAAAAAACTGTCATCAGTCAAGATGTCCAGCTTCTCATTGAACGTTTCTAGCTATCAGGCTTTGGCAGGGTCGCCCTACTCTGCACGGTAGAGGAAGGGAAACAGTTCTGTGTAGTGGCCAGCATAGATGCCTGCTCACCTGGAGTTATTTTCATCCTCTGTTGAAATGCTCCATCTTCTCAACATTTCCTTAAGTTTTCAGAAATAGAAGAGGAGCAAGGCGTAAAATATTTATCTGCTTTTGACACCTTGCCAAGGCTACTGGGTACATGAGCATCCTGAGAGGAAAGCTTCATCAGTTCGTAGGGAAACATTCTCTAACAATTTGTTTCTCTATTTGTGGAACATTCACTCAGGGTGAAAAGATACTTCCCTATGTCTGTTACTATGGTGAGTACTGAACCAAGCAAACTATAGATAGAAATTCCCAGTAAGAAGCTCAAATGCATAATAGGTATAACTTTCTTTTTCAGGAAGGAAAAGAATTGTCATCTTGAATAGCCGCATTTAACATAATAGTACTTTTTAAGTCTCTCTTTTGAATCGTATGCCCTCCATGGAGATGTAGTAAAAAATGTACTGCTTTTATGGCTGAGTGGGATAAGCTGATATCAGAAGGGGGCATGCTGAACTTTGGTCCATGTCACACTACTTAGGGAGTGATACAAGAGTAGTACAATGAAACATTTTGGACCAATGGTCTCACCGAGGATTTTGTGCTCTTGATGTGGCCCAATTCTTTCGTACAGGAGATTTGATAATGATACTGACAGTGATAAAGAAAAATATCTCCTCATTAATTTGAAGACAAGACATCTAGTTCCCAACGTGAAACAGGAACACACTCTAAAAGCCTGAAAGAAATTTGGAACAAATAGTAAGGGGTTAGTCCCTTATTGCTCCACAGAATCAGAGTGTATCAAATCTTTACTAACGTAGTCGTCTTTGAATATTTTAGTCTAGGAAACCAAAATACGCTAATATCAAGCTAGGAGATTCATTCAGCTAGGGATTACTTCTTCTAGACAACATAACTGGGGCTTTTATGTACAATTGCTCCTACTTGCCAAACATAATGGGAATTGGAAAAAAAAAAAAATTAATGAAATCAGAACAACAGAAAAGTCCTAGAAGTAATGCCACACAAAGTAGATGTTAGTTTTAAAACATTAAAAGTAGAAAAAAATATACAAAACTATGTGCAGCAAGATATCCAATTTTGCACATGATGAATCATATTGTGTAAACACATACTCACGCAAACTACAGTGATTGAAAGGCTGTAAGTGTGAACAGTGGCTATGTCTAAATAGGAGTATTATGGGAGATTTTAAACCTCTTCTTTGTAGTTTACTGTGTTTTTCAAGTTTTCTGCCGTGAACAGTTATTACTTTTATAATTAGAGGGAAAATAAATGCTATAAAATATCTAAAGTTTTACACAAAATTTAAAAATAGCATTTCCTATGTAAGAGGGGCTATAGCGTTTCAAGTGTAAAACCACCCAACATGCAAAACTCTAATTGCATTACAGATCCTACGTTACAGCATTTTCTTCTGCAGAGCTTGCTACATCTTCTGGTTTGGTTAGGTCCTCTTTTATTTCTGTCCACCAAAGTTTTTCCACTAGAAACAGTACCATATCTTTGCCTTTACTAGTACCTTCCATTCTTCTCACTGAAAATCCATGTCTGTAAGTCCCTTTAAAATGTATCCTAAAATCATCTCCCTACAGGAAGTCTTGTCTGATGAAACCTACCGCAGTTTGATGCTTTTTAATGTAAATCTTCAGCTCTTGTGTATTTAATTTTAAAATATTGCTTTATGGTTGTTGTTATGTTGCTTTATTATTCTTTGCAAATTATTTTCTATTGAAGCATCCTTCTGTGTCCAGAGGATAAATTCTCAGAGTACAGAGGCTAGGGCTTTGCTCTTTTTGTTTCCTGCAAAGCAACTGGAAGAGTAAATTTATGCTAATTAAGTGGCTAAAAATATACACTAACAGGTGAATTGAGAATCCTGTGAGAAAAACTGAGCAGAGATATTTGGGTAAAATTCTGAACTCTTGGCTGCTGGTTGAATCAAGTCTCTCCTGTGGATGTCTGCTCAGCTGGCTGGTTATATCCAAACTATTGTGATAATGTGGGTTTGGAGGAAAATGTGTCTTAGCTATCCATTCCTCATTTTACATCACGGACTAACTGGTTTTTGGAGACAGGAACCCTAGGAAGTTGGCCTAATTTCAGATTTCATAAGGGCTTGCCGACTACCCTCTTAGTCCCTGATACTTTTCTCCTGCACATTAGGTAGTGTTTGGTATTTGGGCATTGTGTTATTCAGAATTATTTTTATGTCTCCCAGTGTCAGTTCTAAAATCACACGAACCATAGGACTAGAGGATATTTTCAGTGTGAACAAGTACTTATGCTCTCTCAGAAAGCTGTTATAAGGAACAAGTTGGAAGTCAGGCTTTTTAAACATATTTAGGCAGCTCTCTTTTTCAGTAGGTCCTGTACGCACTGACAAGTGGCATTGGACAAAGGGTCAGTATCAGTCAGAAAGTTTTAAGCGGAGACTTAACATGGTTGAGTGGTTGGCCTTTCCAGGAGTATTAGTTTTTGAAATGGAAATTCAGGGAACAACTGCTTTATACAAGAGTACTCTGAGGGGAAAATTTTGGAGTTAGGGAAAGAAGCTGCGTGATAGTTTCTTATTTCTGCTGATTATGTTTTTTCTCCACATCTCCACAGGGTGCACTTGGGCTCGTGTGTCCCGGATCGGCTGCTGCTGTGGCATTCTACTGGTGCTGAGGGAGAGGGCTGGAGTAATGCTCGCATTTGCCTCATGCAGCCTCGTTGTTTGATGTGAAACATGGTTCTTGGGCTGGCATTTTGCAGCAGCTACGTCAGTTGGTGGCATATTTCTGATACTCTCTTCACGTCTTGCTGTTAACCAGCAGGAAGATGACCTGAAACAGTGGGAATTAGAAAGCTGTCCTTTGCTAGTGACAGAAGAGCCAAAGATGGACAGGGCTCAGGTGGTCCAAAAGAGCTATCTTCTTTTTGTTTTGTTTTGTTCTGTTTTCTCTTTTTTTTTGAGTGGTTATGGCCACGCCTGGCTTCCAAGTTTTCAAAATCCTAGTAGACACAAGAAAACATTTCTTTTCAGTTTATTGTGACACACATATAAGTCTTCAAAGCACTGTGTGCAGAATAGTTTCCAAATATAAAGCTTGTGAGCAAGGTAGACATTGCTGAGGTTCATCTCCTATGACCCTTTCTGTAGTGAGTATGGCTGTGCCCTCAGAGAACAGAGACATGGAGAAGCATCTGATTACATCCATTTCTCTCCAGGCTGACTCGACTGCCGCCACAATACATGGATGTTGTGTTGCCACATGGTGTCTACTTGTTGTGAAATAGAAATCTTGCTACACTTAATCATGTGCATCCAGTATGTTTGCTGGATGACCCTAGGCCCACTGGAATATTTCACAACTCATTCTAGACTTGTTTGGAAGCCTGGCTTCTCTGTTTCAGTCAATAAAACCTGCAAGTAACCATTTGCAAAGAAGAAGTGGAAACAATCGACGATGCAGATGCCTGGACTCAGAATATGGTCTTTCTTCTAGTCCTTTCAGTTGCTCCCAAGTGAGAACTTGTACCTGAATAATGCAGACCTCCTTTGCAGGCAATCCAATAAATTCATCTTTGTTTCAGATTGCTATTTGGCAGTCATTGTTTCTCATTGTGCAGCACGAGATAAGTGTAATTGGTCAACTGGATGGCAGAGACCAGGTTGTGGGTACAGGAAAGGTGTGTGACCTCGTTTCTCATCATTAAGGTAATGGTGCCTACTTCTGTGGATTGTTGTGAAGTCCAAATAAGTTAGTCCAAGTAAAGTGCTTGGGATAGGGCCTGGTACACAGTAAAGTTTAGCTATTATTATTAATTCTACAATTTGGGAACATTAACATCATTTTCCCGTGACTGAGAACAAATCTAAACTGCACTTGACAAATACACAGACTTCTAGAAACCACCGAATATGGCTTGAATGATGAGAGACTTTAAACTACAAGTACACTTTCAAGACTTTTAAAAATGAAATGAAAGCTAGTAACAGTTATAATACCGAATACTTGAATCAAGGGTCCAGATATTAGCCACTTTAAATAATTTTAGTCAAGGAGAAGATTTATGAAAGATGCAAAGCTCTGTGGACCCTAAGTTAGGTGTGTGCATATGTGTGTGTGTCAAAAATTAAAGGCAGAGAAGAATTCTCTATTTATGGAAAAGTCTATGAATTTGTTAATTGATTCAGTATCTGGGATGAAAATCCCCAAAGTACTTAAAGGAAGGCAGTGTAAAAAGACTGAACTATTCTAATAAAGTCACTTTTAAGTGGTTAACCATGGCTTCCAGTAGCTTATTGAAATGGTTTGGAGAGCAAATCACAGTGCTGGGAAGTGTCAAAATGTGCTGCTTCTCAATAAAGTTGTAGCTCATGCCTGCCCGGCCCCATGCTCCTGTGGGTTGTAATCCTCTTCCCTGCTCCACCACACGCTAGCTACTGCTGTGCTGGAGCATGCACAGCTTGTAAAAGTGTTACTACCAGAAGCACTGAGTGAAGGGCACTGATACGAAGTGATATTTATAACTAGCATTTCACACGTACATGCACGGTATGTGTTTTAATAGAAAATTTCCCCAAATAAGATTGTGCTTTGTAATTTCAATGCTGCTGGATTTTTGGGTTTGTTTGTTTGTTTGTTTTAAATTTTTTATTAGGATTATAATAGTTTACAGCCTTGTGAAATTTCAGTTGTACATTATTGTTAGTCGTGTTGTAGGTGCACCCCTTCACCCTTTGTGCCCTCCCCCACCCCGCCTTTCCCCTGGTAACCACCGATCAGTTCTCTTTGTCTATATGTTTAACTTCCACCTATGAGTGGAGTCATACAGAGTTCGTCTTTGTCTGGCTTATTTCACTTAACATAATACCCTCAAGGTCCATCCACGTTGTTGTGAATGGGACGATTTTGTCCTTTTTTATGGCTGAGTAGTATTCCATCATATATATATATATATATATATTATATATACCATATCTTCTTTATCCAATCATCAGTTGATGGGCACTTAGGTTGCTTCCATGTCTTGGCTATTGTAAATAATGCTGCGATGAACATAGGGGTGCATGGGACTTTTGGAATTGCTGATTTCAAGTTCTTTGGATAGATACCCACTAGTGAGATGGCTGGGTCATAAGGTATTTCTATTTTTAATTTTTTGAGAAATCTCCATACTGTTTTCCATAGTGGCTGCACCAGTTTGCATTCCCACCAGCAGTGTATGAGGGTTCCTTTTTCTCCACAATCTCTCCAACATTTGTCACTTTTTGTTTGGGATATTTTTGCCATTCTAACAGGTGTAAGGTGACATCTTAGTGTAGTTTTGATTTGCATTTCCCTGATGATTAGTGATGATGAGCATCTTTTCGTGTGTCTATTGGCCATCCGTATATCTTCTTTGGAGAAATGTCTGTTCATGTCCCCTGCCCATTTTTTTGAGGTCAGTTTTCTCTCTCCCTCTCACTTGATGAGTTCATGATTGTAAACTTAGTGCCAGATGTCTCCTGACACGCCTCAGATGTCACTGTAGAAAATCAGTCTAAGGGTTACTCCTTTGTTGTGTTTCTCAAGACCTACTGATTTTTTTCTGCCCCTTTGACGAGCAATTTATTGACTCAGATTAGCTATTCCTAAAAGAAGCACTGCCTAGTCTACTGGAGGAACACCTCAGGAATTTTACATCCCGACACCAGGACTATCAAAACAAGAAAGATAAGAAACATGTTTTCAAAGAGAAAAGCTGGCAGCCCTGGTGAATTAGTCTTGGTTTTGTGGTTTGAGACTTGTTTTTGTCAACGTTCTAACAAAGAAAGCAAAAGGGCTGGTGCAGAGAGAAAGTAGTAAAGGAAATCTCTCCATCTTTTCCCTCAGTGGTATTGAGAACTACTTCATAAAATGAAGTGCTCAATGAGACAACTTATTTGACTACCACTGTGTTAATATCCTCACATGGTCTCTTTTCTTGCTAGTTAATCTATATAAGCTATAGGCTCAACTGGAGATCCTCATCTAAACCATAAAATACAGAAAATAATTTAAGCGACTATATTCTCAATTCCCTCAAAGATGCTATGTAACTAGGATCTCTCTAGCTGCATAGGAGAAAAGTTTGTTCATTCCATACAATGGATGCCATGGTCAGTAGGGATTAATTTTCTCGAAATTGGCTAAAAATGGTTAATAGACATTCAAGTCTACCGTTGAATACAATCAATATGATGTATGCCATGGTCAACAAATGGCTAAATAAGGGTCAAAAGCCTTCAGAGCTGGAAATGGTCAAACCAGAATTCAAATGAAAATTCAAGATAATGCCCCATTGACTCTCAAGTTTGTTTGTTTTCTGTTTTAGATCTACAAGTTAATTTTGTTGTTTGTTGAGAGACAACTTACATACAGTAAAATTCACCCATTTTAGGTGTATGGCTCAATGAATTATGAGAAATTTATTTAGTCATGTAACTCACCAAAATCAAGATATAGGATAATTCCTCATGACCCTTTGTAGTAAATCTCCTTTCCTACCTCCAACTACCAGCAACCACTGACCTGATTTCTGTTCCTATAGTTCTTTCTTTTCCATAATATTATGTTAATTGAATCATTCAGTATGTAGTCCCTTGTGTTTGACCTTTTTCTCTTAGTATAATGCTTTTGAGATCCATCTATGTTGTTGTGTGTTTATCTGTAGTTCTTTCTTTTTTGTTTTTATTTTATTTATTTATTTTTTTGGTGAGGAAGGTTAACCCTGAGCTAATATCTACCACCAATCCTCCTCTTTTTGCTGAGGAAGATTGGCCCTGAGCTAACTTCTGTGGCCATCTTCCTCCATTTTATATGTGGGACACCTGCCACAGCTTGGATTGATAAGCGGTGCTTAGGTCCACACCCAGAATTCGAACCCAGGAACCCCGGGCCCCTGAAGCACAGTTAGCAAACTCAACCACAATGCCACCAGGCCAGCTCTGCTGGTCTTTCGTTTTTAATGCTATGTGGATATAACATAATTTATCTATTCACCAGTTGTTGGACATTTTGGGTTCTTTTTAGCTTTTAGGATTTATGAATAAAGTTGCTGTAAACATGCATATGCAGGTTTTTGTGTGGGCATGGGTTTTCGTGTCTCTAGGGTAAGTACCGAAATGTAAGTGACTTTGTAAGAAATCGCCAAACTTTTTTCCAAAGTAGAATTACCACTGGTAATGTATGTCATCTAGCTGCTTTGCATTCTCATCAGACTTTAGTATTGTCATATGTATTTTTTTAATTTGAGCCATTCTAATAAGTGTGTAGTGGTATCTCATTGGGTCTTTCAAGTTTTAACAGTTAAGTTTATAAGTCAGTTACAAAAGACACATGAAATTATTGAAGGCGTGTCAGACATAGGAAGACAGATTCTGTTGTTTCGTTAACTTTAGACACTGGCTCTTCGCCGTGTTCTCCTGCCGATGTTGCAGCACGGAGCTAGCACTAATCCTAAATGATAACTAGGCAATATTCAAGCATCCGTGGCTTCAACAGGCACAGAATCTTTGCTTTCCAGTCAGGTTAGGCTCCTGCTCTCACAGGATTTATAATAGAATTATTAGAAGGGTTTTGCTCCTTTTTCTCACACAGTGTGTCAGAAAAATGTCTACCAGGGAGATATTTCTGCTCATCATCTCCAAAACTGAAAAATAGCTGATTATTTTCTACAGCCCTCCAAGCCAATCTCACATGGAAAATCGGCTCTTGCCACAGTGAGAGGGAAACAGAACTACAGCAACAATTTACTTTTCATCCTTGCAGAAGTTGGGCAGCTTTCCTTCTGCCTTTATGTTGATTATTTGCTGGGCCTTGTGATCACTTGCTCTTGTTACTTTTCCTCTTGCAGTTACTAAGTTTTGACTGGGATTGAGACCTTCTCTCATCCTTCCCAGATAGTTGTCGCATGAGTGAGACTGAGTGGATGGGGCTCTGGTCTCTCTTCTGCAGCTCTGACTAGACCAGAACCTTCTCTGCTACTCGAGGATGGCAGCTCCTACAGGACTTTTTTTTACCTGCTGGGAATGCCTTTGCTCTCCTTCTCTGCCTGGGAAATTGCTACTTGTCTTTCAAAATCAGATCAAGTGTCACCTCTTCTATGATGCCAGACTCTGAACTCTGCTCTTGTATTGTTTGAAGATCTATCCCATAGCCTGTGACTATCTGTTTACATCTCTGTATCCCTCCTAGACTCAGAACTCCTTCCAGGCAAGAACCACGTGTTAATACTCCTTGTTGACTTAACACATAGTACACAATCAGTAAATTTTTTTTTTTTATTTTATAACTCATTTTATTGAATAATAAAGAGTGCCTCACCTCTTCATCACCAATACTGTAGCAGAGGGAATGGCAACCACAAATCTTGGATTTTCTTGCCCAGCGTCAAAGTCTGTTCTTTTGGTGAAGTGTCATCTCCTCTGATTATAAAAGTCAGATTCATCACAGAAAAGTGGGAAAATACAGTAAAGTGGGTAGGAACCAAACAAATTCCCACCCCTTGGAGACAATCACCATTAACTTTTGGAAATATTTCTGTCCACTTCTTCTTTGAGGTATAAATTTCCTG